ATATCTTCCACTGCACGTATTAGTGTACGTGAAGTTTTGTGGCACCCCGAACCAATAATGTCCCGTTACACCTGGTAGCCATTTGGTAGTCCGTCCAACGACTACTTAGTGTCCTACTAACACGAACGTGTTGGATGCAGAAGACGAAAGCTTTCACGTCACACGTGAAGGCTACTCCCATCTGAGTGACTCAGAATGGGAGGTAGTTGGCCGCATGAGTGTGCTCATGGGCGAACCCGCCATTACTGGCATGTTGGAGTCTCAAAGCAGAGACCAGCAACGTGCTGCTATCAACAAGTTGCTACAAGGAGGACTTGCCGTCAGAAGACATAAGATAGCTTTGCTACAACAGCACGGCTCTCGTCAGTCGATGAGTGGGCCGACGCATATGCGTCAACCCGAAACCTTGAAGATTGATATCTTAAGGTACAAGGAAACCGATGAAGCTTCCCTTTTGAGATGGCTCGTCGAGTTAGACGGCTCCATAAGGGGCCGTCACATCAAGTGTGACGAGATGCAAGTCACCTTCGCCCTGTCAAATTTGACAGGACGAGCAAAGACTTTGGTCTTAGGGCTCAAGCTTCACGACTTAAACGAGTTTGATTCATTGGAGATCTTGAAGTATCGGCTGAAAGAGACGTTTGAGCCGCCGAGAGCCGAGGTCAGAGCACGCTCTGCATTCTTGAGGCTAAAGCAAGGTAAGCGTGACGTTCACGCTTACGCACAACACCTGCGCTACCTTGCGAGTCGCGTTACGGAAAACCCTGTTCAAGAGCACACGCTCATCAAGTGTTCATCTACGGCCTTGTGTATGGGCCGGTGAAGACCTACATGTTCCGAGAGGACTTCCATACGCTGGAAAAGGCGATAGTGTATGCGGAAAAAAGAAGACTTCAGCCTGGGACAGTCTCAGGCTAACTCATCAAATTATCGTCCGACGAGACGACCGGAAACAGGAGGTCCCGAACCAATAAACCTCTGTTACATCGAGAGCGAGAACTCTCGCTCTCTGAAGAACAAGCGAACGGAAAGATGCCATCGCTGTCAGATGATTGGACACTACGCTCATGAGTTTAGTGTCTCAAGCACCGCAACACGTCCAAAGACAAAACGTGATGACCGCCGTTGGCCAAGGAAAGTTTCAAGGCGCGGGTCCGATCACGTCGCTAAGCCGCGACAGAAAGTCGGACCGTCAACGAAGCGGACAGGTTCAGTAGGGGCGGAGCACCCTGCTGATCCAGCAACGTCAAGATAATTTGCAGGACTCTTGACGAAGATTGCTCCCAACACACAGTCGCTGTGTGTTGGGAATCCTTGTGATGAGGTGTCCCTCATGACTTTGGAGATCGAAGTGGCAAGTGTAATGTCAATTCGCGCCCTAGTTGACGGTGGGGCATCCAACAGTTTTATTCGACGCCAGTAGCTAGAGGCAAATAGGCTTAGCTATGCTGAGCGAGAGTTCCCTCCAACGAGGATAAAGGTGTTCCTTGCTACAGGCGCATCCGTAACGGTGAACAAACGTATAGTAGGGATCCACCACACGCTAGAATGAAAGCAGTACGATGATGACTTTATTGTACTGGATTTGGATGACAAATTTGATGTCATCCTCGAACTACCATGGCTTAGAATATACCATGGCTTAGAATTTACCAGCCATCGATCAGCTGGCAGCATCGATCCGTGAAGATGCCTGCCGTTTGTTCATCAGATGGTCATCTGATGAACTTCTTGGAGCGTCCACAAGCGTGTAGATGTACTACTAGTAAGTGCGATGGCCTCACTTGTGGTACAGTCGTTAGAACTACTGCAAAAGATCGCTGTGTAAATTGCAACTGCACTGTGAAACCAGCTTCCGGCACTTGTGCAGAGACACAGGCTTCGCCAAAGGTTTGCCACTCAAAAAGATAAAGTGGACCGGAACATGGATGCACGCCAACCAGGGTTTTTTTTTAAGAAAAGAGATTAGTGTTCTTCAGATTAAACAACACATCAAAGTGAGGTCAACGAACAGAGAGTCGATCGTAGAGCAAGCCCGATTGACTAAAAGAGAGTCGATCGAAAAGAACATGACTGTGGTAGTGCGCACACACAGTCAAACACGTATTGTAAGAAATTTCCAGCGTTCCCGAGAGTGATAACTCCAGAGAAAGTTGTGTTGAGCGTGTGTTATCCGAACTACCTGCGGATGCGTCCTAGGAAATCATCGAGACGGTGAATGTCTTGGTGAATGGCGGATCAAGTGTAGGCTGTTATGCACCTGATCTAGTTTAGCCCCCGAAGTTAGCTTCGGAGGTGGTCAAGTTACCAACGCTAGAATCTAAAAGATTCTTGTGAGATCTGCGTAGTGACAAGATCGAGCAGATCTGCGTACTCATCACAGAGGACGAGTACGTCGCCGACATTCGGTTGGCACAAGTGTTTGCTGAAAGCAAAAGGTTTCTCAGTAGCTCATCGATGGATGAAAGCATCCTCGATAAGAAGACTCGGATTGGGTGACACACGTCTCAATCTTGGGAGTCTTTATAGACAATTATTTTGTATAAGGATTTGGCTGAATTCAGGGATGTTTTCCCTGATACGTGTTATGCGAGCTGCCTAAGGACAAATGCACTCTGCATGAAATCAAACTGAAATCCGGTTTAATTACTGTGTCATGAAGCAGTGTCCACTGCCTCGTAAACAGGTCGCAGGGATCGACAAATTCTCTACCGATCGTTTAGCGGCTGGTCATGTGAGGGTTTCAGCATCCCCCCACAGCTCTCCGACCTTCTGTGTGCGAAAGGCCACAGGAGAATGGTGGATAGTGCACGCGTTCAACAAAATGGACGCTCCAACGGTACCGGCTCAAACGCCGATACAAAGGAAGGACTTCATCATAGATGGTATGGCAAAACGTACCATCTTTTCGTCCATGAGTTTGATGGATGGATTCTATCAGATCCTCATGCGTGAACGGGCACCCCGTTCACATGGGTTAGCACTCCCAGTGGTATGCTCTGGAAGTGGCTAGTGATGCTACAGGGGCTAAGTAACGCCCCTGCAACGTTTAACAGATGTGTTGCAAATCTGATTCTATCGTTGCGCGACTTCGCACCGAGTTACTCAACGATGTCTTCGTCCACAGCCGGGCTGTGGATGGAAAGACGGATGTGGAGGTTCATAGAATCCACGTCTGGAAGGGTCTAACTCTCCTGCGAGAGCGTAAGTTGATCGCGAACCTCAGAAGTGTATATTCACAGCGAGCGAAATACCACTTCTTGGGTGCATCGTCAATAAAAACGGCGTACATCCTAATCCGGAAAAGATCCAGGCGATTTGCGACTGGACTGTGCCAGTCAACGTCAAAGGACTTTGAAAGTTCCTTGGCTTGGCGGCGTACTTGCACAAGTGCTCTCACAACTACGCCGAGATAACCGTACATCTCTCTCGTCTACTAAAGAAATACTGGAGGTGGTATGGAGTGCTGAGTGTCAGAACTCCTTCGACGGTATCAAGAAAAGCTTGAAACGATTGCCTGCGCTGACGATTGCAGACCAGGACGGACCGCTCCATGTGGTCTGTGACGCCAGCAATTTTGAAATCGACTGCGCGTTAATGCAGTACGAATCAGACGGCGCAGAGCGCGTCGTCTGTTATCAATCGCGTCAGCTGCAAGCTGCTGAGCTTGGCTAACCAGTGCATGACAAGGAGATCCTTGCCATGGAATATGCACTGGCTAAGTTTTAGGTATATCTCTTAGGAGATAGGCCCTTCATCGTTATACCAACCATGCGTCGTTACGCACGGCCGTAAACAGTCCACACCTCTCGCAACGAATGGCGAGGTGGCTGTCTTTCTTCGCGGAGTTCAGTTTCTCCGTCGAGTATAAACCAGGACGACTTAATGTCGTCGCTACTGCTCTTTCGCGTCGGCCCGATTTCGAGCCGACTGCTCAACCCTACCGTAGGGGTTATCCCACTGTAGCAACACTAACAGTGAGTGTTCCGTCGTAGAATATTCTCGAGGACGTGCGAAAAGCATACGCAGAAGATTAGCCTCTTCTGCGGCTGATGGATTACGTATCCAATCCATACAGTCTAGCTTTATAAAGCTTGTCGTCTCAATACCGCTCTTTAACCGAACGGTGATCTGTTCGTGATGGACTGCTGTACTATACAGCAGTCAACGGCGATACTCCTCGTGTCGTCGTTCCCGCTCATAATGATTTGCGATTGCGCATCATGTATGAGTGTCACGATGCCCCAACAAGTGGGCATTGCGCTAGTGAAAAGACTTACCTCACGGTAAGTCGTAACTTCTACTGGCCCCGCCAGTATGAGTTTGTGCGCAAATACATTCGCGCTTCCGAAGTTTGCCAATGGGCGAAGCCTGGTCCTTCATCTCGCGCACCCTTGTAGCCTCTTCCGATTCCGGCTGAGTGTTGTCAGTCCTTATCGATGGACTTGGTCTTTGGGTTTACGCAAGACGTTCACAAGAATGCTGGTATTCTTGTTTGTTGATCGGTTTAGCAAGATGGTACATCTTGTTGCTGTACCGGAGTCAATCACAGCCGAGGGCTGTGCTCGTGTATTCATCGATACTATCTTCCGAATTCACGGGTTACTCTGTGAACTCGTGTCTGACACGGATCCCCGCTTTACAGCGGAGTTCTGGCAATCCGTGTTCCGTTCACCAGGTATTATTTGAAGATGTCAACTTCTGACCATCCAGAAACAGATGGTCAGAGGGAACGCGTCAACCGCGTCCTTGAAAAGATACTTCGAGGGCACGTCCACTCGTCTACGAGTTGGAGTGAGTTCTTGTCGACGGCGGAATTTGCCACCAACAACTCGGTGCATGCGTCGACAACGCATACACCGTTCTTCGTGAATGACCTACGCCTACCACTTTTACCCGCCTTCTTAGAGTATGAATCTAGTTTAAGGGGGGGGTGGACTCGATTGAACAAAACTCGATTTGGTTCTTGCTCATCACCCGTCGACAATGGTGTCGACGTGATGGATGCCGATTTCGATGCGATCGACAGTGATAATAACGATGATGACGACGATGCTGGTATATTCAGCATCGCCAATGACTGCCACAGTGAGTACAATGACGCCCTCAATCGTGAAGACAACGTTCTTCGATCAGTGCACACGAAGCGCACTGCTGTTGACAAGGATGAATCAGCAGAGGAATTACTGCTGACTCGCGAAGCGGTCGTCCGCTTCGTATAACATTCTATCGAAAATGCACTATACAGACAGAAGCTAAACACAGACAAACATGAAAGAGAAAATGTTCTTTCGTTTGATGAAGGAGATTTAGTTTTATCGTCGACAGTAACGCTACCGAAACACGCAGTGAAAAATGTGGGGCAGCAGTAACATCCTTCCCAAGAATATCGGTCCATTTCGTTTGTTGCGCCGAATGGGCAACGCATACGCGATTGACCTGCCTTGTAAGATGCGTACGTATTCTACGTTTTACGTTGGACTTCTCCACTCGTACTATCATTACGAGCCCGATTCGAGATGCGAACAACACCTCAGCGGTCAAGAGCCGAGACCACCTTTGAGTGGTCCCATTTCAGCGAGCAAGTCTGGTCGACTAGCGAAGCGACCTGTTCACGCAGTGGAGCGAAGTTGTGACGAGCTGCAGACAGCTCGTCACGAAGAGAACGAGTCGAACGTTCGTTCTCAAGTTGCACGAACGCAAACCTGGCACGATCGTTCGAAAGATCGTGCGCTAAGGAATTGTAATTGTCACTTACAAGGTCATGGAGGTTATAACGCTGAGTCCGTTCTTGAGCCAGGTCATCTTATAACTGCTTCGTTACACGGTTTAGCTCCTGAACATCAAGCTGATCCGACCCTCGAGCCGTACAGGTGTTTCCACCACCACTACATCCTTTAATGCATTCTGGCGGTGGTCAATGCTTCCTAATGGGGCTATCTTTGAATAACAACGACGTGATAGGCGCTCGGACTAGTTACCTCGTCCTCTGGCGTGGCTATCCGCCGTCCTGGGACACTTGGAAGCCTCGCGCCGAGCTAATCGTTGTTGTCCTGGGTCTTGGCGAGCCATATGACGAGACCTACCCTCTGCGTTCGAGGAAGGGCCGTCGGAAAAGACCTCCTCGAACGCAAGTACAGGAATTGCAAAGTATCCATCCCTTCGGCCATCTCAGAAGAGATGCGCGCCCTCCAGTTGGGATCATTAGGGAGGGAGGCCTCCCTAGGGGCACGGTTCAAATTGTCCAGGCAACTTATCACGAATCACTCCACAAGAGACAGGGTAATCCTGCCTCTCTTGACAGCCGGTACAACTTGTATCGCACCCCGACTGGGTTGCGCTTCTCAAACCTGAAACGAGCTATATCAAGTTTACCGAGCCAGGCCACACGGCCAATACACACAAATGTATGAATGAGGGCATTCCATCCTTGCACCAAGGCCTTACCGTCTCGACCACGGCTGCCATTGTACCACCAATGTTTAAAAAACGCATCGGTGTAGAATTTTTACTCAGCACGGATAGTTTCCGTGCTGGAATTAGGTGGGCATATCTTTCTACAGTCGTACGACGGGGTTCGATCCCGATTGGCAGTCATGCCGGCCAATCGATATATAACTCTTTGGATGACGGCATCCAAGGAGACTCCACTTGAGGAGCGTGGCGCAGGACATTTCGGTCCCTGGCCTGTTGATTGGTGTCAGCATAAGCACTGACACCAGTGGCAGCTCTATCCCTCAACTTACTTCGCTCGTGGTGATGCTTAGAGGCATCGCCACCATCACCAGGCGTCCTATCGTTGATGGACTCGCGTGAGGCGAGGATTCATCGGAAAAATCGCTCGTTCCGAAGACCTCGAGCATGATTCCGCCACGTTCACCAAACCCATTCAGCCTGGCTCTTGCAGCATCCGCCCCGTGTGATCCGAAGGCTTGAGGAATTGCCTACAAGTCGAATTTATCATCCGACTCGCCAGAATAAATGAGCTCTAAATCAGACTCATCGATATTACGATTCGCGGTACTTGCTGCAGACGCAGCGGATGTACCTGTCGCACGTGGTCACTCACCATGTGGACTGTTCCCAACAACAGGCAACGAATCACCTGCTGCTGAAGTGTGAGAAGAAATCTCTACGGCTGCACGCACGCGTGCAGCCGCCTATTTTAATGCTACAGTAGCAACTCACTAGGGTTACGAAACCATGCGTTGGATTGACAAATGCATGGAATACAACCAACAATGATCGAATGGTGGTCTCCCTATACCAATCAATTCTGATTCAATCAACGGGTGATTGATGGTAGGGGGGGATGTAATGAAGTGGCTCGTTGTATGATGCTGACACCAAACGTTATCAATAGAGAAATTGTCTAGCATGACAAAATCCTACTAATATTATCCGAGATGTATAATTTTGAAGGAATTTCATCCCCTTTTAGGATAGTATCCACGCGCTGCTCAAAGATTGGTTGGTACAAGACATGTCAACCATAGATTACCACCAATCGCTTCTAGAAGCGCGCGCAATGAGTGGTGAGCAGGTTGTCGTCATACGACGACGTAGTCTAATTTAGTTAGATATAGATTAAAGTTATACTGATAGCTTAACTACATTAAATGCAGTTCTCTTTTTACCCTTTACTCAACATAGCTGTTGAGTGGAATAGCTTCCTCTGCACGTACTAGTGTACGTGAAGTTTCGTGACACCCCAAAAAAAATAAGAAGGGTGCCCCGTGACGTAATGAGTGGTTTTATGCAGAAACTTATGAAGAGACTATCGAGACATCAATTATAAGTCGGATCGGATGTTGTAACGAGAATTCAGGAGATCCGACTAGACTTCAGTTCTTAAATTGTTAGGTACCTCAAAGAATGGAGGCAACAGCGCGTTTTCAACAAATAATACAGATTTAAAGGAATATTAACCAGCGCCAGCGTGACCAAGATGGAAAGGCAGGATACGGCTTAATTGTCACAAACGCTTGCTCCTGCAAAAAGACAACCTACGCGAAGAAAGTGGAAAAGAGAACAGGTAAAACAATTATTATGCGAAGCACATCGCGAAACAGCAGACCCAACCAGTGAGTGTATAATTGGTAAGCAAACCAAAAAGAAGAACTTATCTTCTGCAGGTGCAGAGAAACACCACAAGACGCTAAAGTAACCTTTGAAATGTGGTCATATTCGCCCAAGATATCATAACACAATCAGCTTACCGGTACCAGCCTGACACATGCCTACAATACATAGGCAAACCACCGCTTAGTCTGAGGTGAGAGCATTTCAAAGATTATTTAGACCTAATCACTAACGAACAGAAGAAGGAGAAAGCGTCTGAAAACAATGGTACCATTGTTTCCATTCCCCATCTCCTCCTGTGCATTAATTATCGCCGGAATTATTGACTTGGGGCTTCGTTGATAAAGGCCTCTTCATAGAAAGGCTCAAAGATTCGAATCCTCGCCCGCGCGTAAAACCTGAGAATTTACTTTATGGAATAAATGCAGAGTTTGTAGATTGCGCTACTATGAAAGAAAGAGAGCATTTAAGATCAAATTCAAAAATAGTCTCCATCCAGCACCACAAAGATCGTGTGGAGTGAAGGTTCTTATGGCTCACAGCGCATTTTATATACTATTCATTTCTCGTGACTTGTACAATCATTAATGCGAAAAGTAAGAAAAAACCAGAGAAAAACTGTACTTACGGACGCATGCCAGACGCGTATAGGGCCAGAGGTCGGGCCTCACCAGTGGTCTATTCAACGAAAAAAGAGACAAATTAGCGCAGCGGCATCTGCTGTGCCCACAAGACTTGCTACAAGTCAACCAAACGATAAGTACCTCTTTTACAAACTTAATTGACACTATCGAGAAGACCGCGATCGTGAAAAACTGGCAAACTAGTAGGTTCAACAAATATCACTTTGCAGCAGACAGTTCACTCCGCGCTGCACAATCGTAATTTAGATGTAACGGGGTTATACGCGGTAATTTGAGCCGGTTGTTTCATGTATCCACACCAAGTAAAGATCGATGGATTTGAGTGGTACAGTCTTGGTACCACGTACTTACGGTAATACCGCACCTAATAGGGTAGGGTTAAGGGATCGGACTTCCGTCATAGGATCGCAATGTAGAAGTCAGTCAGACATGGTTTTAGGGTTTTGTTACCGTAGTCAAGAATAAACAAAGTTCAGTTCCTCTTTTGAATCGTTGGACACTAGTGCCTAGTAAAGGCGTAGTGTGTAGTGAAGAGCATTAGCCTTGTAAAAGCGCTTACTCATGTTTAACTAGTAGTGACTAGTTGGTGTGTAATCTTGTGAATCGTAATCCCTTTGAAACCGAAAGAATTAGGCTTAAACGCTTAAAGTACTATAGTTCTTTATTAGATTGTTCTAACTAAGAGGTTCTTTGAATCTAAGACTTCCTCTGTTAAGGAGCGCTAAGAAGCTCCGCTGCACTTGGTAGCACTCGTAGTCAATCCACACATGAGTCTTCACAGACTGAATTTGCTGCGATTGTGGAAACAACCATGAACCTCTGAGGCCCAGCAGATCGCGATTGAGAATCTCAAGCCGTTGATCGGATACGAGCAAGAAATAGTATAATGACGCAAGGATTGAACGCACTTCGTGCACATCTCGTAGCCTTCTCGAGCTTTGAGTCTACGTTGATCGAACGTGTACATTACCATTTGGCATCTGCCATGCCCTTTCGGTATCATCCAATACCGGACACTGAGTCAAACACTCGTCTTCTTGTCTTAAAAGTAAAGCCTTTTGAGGAAAATAGAGAAAAATCTTCTTTTGTGGGTTTAAGAGATGAATGTTGCCATCAGATCGGCCCTGCTGCCGTTTAAGCAGCAAATAGTGAGCCTGACCCTGTCGAATTATAGGTGGGCGATCCAGGGAGTGGGCCTTCACTTCTGGTACATCGACAGAAGAGGCTGTTCCCACCTGTACATGCTAAAGCAGCAGCTATCTCGGGCGTTTGCCCGGCCTAATCAGGCAAATCACGTGCTATCACGCTTCTTGGCAACCCTCCAGGGTAGTCAGAACTTAGTAGATTAGGTACAGGAGTTGCAAACTCTCATTGCAACTGTGCAGATGAACCATTTACCTGAGACGGTTAAGTACCATTTTGAAGAAGGGTCTTCGCACTAACATTGTTAAAACTACAGTTTTTCGTGCTTAACTCTTGACATTGAGGGTGAAGTG